ACCATTATGTGCATGGCCAATGACACATAGCCACAAAGCTGCCAAATTAAAGTTAAAACCCAGGAATTTAGCAAATAGTTGATATTTATTCCCTTTAAAATTACCTGTATAATGTGCATAGACAGCTACACATGTACTTGTAGGTTAATGTACATGTACATGGCTTTATTGAAAGAAAATTTGGTAGAGCATTAGTGCATGAATAAAATGTTGCTAGATACATGTACAGGTGCTATTAATGTACAATTCTACACGTACATGTGATTTGATTCTGAAGAACCATTTCAACCTAAGACTTACCTGCCAGTCCATTTTGTTTTATGTACATGCATGTACATTGTATTTTAAGAGATTGTGTGTCAGTAAATGCTAAAAAATTATTATAGACATTAATTATACTCCTAACTATTTTTACATGTGCATGTACATGTATGTGTATGTGAAACGATGTTAATCTGCTGTACTGTACATATACATGTACATGTACAGGTACAGTAATTATAGTTTCTTCCTTATTTGCAATATGCAATGCTGAAACTTGTTACTATTTTGGCCCACATCACCCTGACAACCTTGTATAAATACTTATATGTGCACAAGTCACAAGACATGCTTTACATCTTCTCTACATGCTGATAGTTTATATGCACATGTACACATGTAGATGCAATGTCTACATTATATCATTGTACATGTACATACAAGCATACATACTTAGCATGCTTTGTGGTAATTTCCACAAAGCATGCTAAGTGAGCTAAACATGAGCTGACAGACACTGTAATAGACATACATGTACATGTACATGCATACATGGCTTTTTGAGTAACTTAATTTTAAAGATTTGTAAAGAATCCATGTTTGCTTGGAATCAGCTCCATCTTTCTACACAACATAAGAACATGTATATGTATCCAATAGAATTATTAAAATGACAAATTCTCACCTGGTCAATTTTGGGGAAATTTACCCAGAGATCCTGTACTAGTACAGGGACTTTGGCCAGATTTTTGAGTACTTTTAAAATTTCATAAAAAATCAAAGTTTGATCAGAATTAGCTCAAAATTTCTACACAACTTAAGGACATGTATATGTATCAGATAAAATTATAAAAATGACGGATTGTCACATAGTCAATTTTGGCGAAATTTGCCCTGAGGTCCTGTACTATATAGCACAGGGACTTTGGCAAGATTTTTGAGTACTTTAAAAATTTCATGAAAAATCAGAATCAGAGAGTAAAATATTATGTGTTATTGCTTATGCAGGTTGGCAGTGAAATGGTGGTACGTGATCAAGAAGCTGAAGAGATTAAGAAATACGAGAGAAGAAGAAAGAAGAAAAGGAAAAGAAGAGATCTGTCAGTGCTAGTGAGGAGGGATCAATCAAGTCAAAACTAGGTTAGGACTTAATTATGTTTATGTTACTTGATTCTGTGTATTACGTACAATAGCAAAGAACATACATTCTATTGTCTTTCAAACAAATGCCCCGGAAAAGAATGAATTCTTTTTACCAGGAAGAATGGTTAGTACTACATGTACCTGTATGTCATACTGTGATGGATGTGTACATGTACATGTAGTTGGGCATTATTTGTATATGTGACCATAATTGACAAAAGGTACCTTATGGCGGATTTTTAAATTCATCATTATAATGAAAAATATCAACCTGTGAGTGCTCTGTTAGACAAATATTGTTTTAAAAGTTATATAATAACTTTTTACATCTTTTGAAGAAATTTTGTGATAAATAGAGCTCAGGAAGTTGCATTTTTCAGGCTGTAAAGACCAATTTTCCTATCCGCCATAAGGTACCTTTTGTCAATTATGGTCACATATTATAAGTGATTGCTGTTTCTTTGATATGATATACATGTACATGTACATGTACTTGCATAAGTTTCATTAATAATGTGAATGAAGTGATACAGTAATGTGTGTCACTGAAACTATAGTGTATTACTTTAAAATATTCTTAAGGTTTTTTAATTTCACCACTTTTCGATGCTTATACTGTAGCTGCCATTATATTTCTTCTCACTAAGACTTACATGTACACGTACATGCAGGGGCATAGCTGCAACTTAGCTGATGGACGGGCTGGGGCATGGGTGGGTCCAATTTTAACTCTGGTATTGGGTATTTCACTTGTAAAGTTCTATAAGAACTTGCTAATTGCTTATGTACAGCTGTGAGCACTTGTAAGTAGTCTGGTGTGGCTTGTGGCTGGCTATCAACACTTTAGACAAGAAAGGGTACGTTGCATCTAATGAATATCGTTATAGGCCTTTGATGTGAAGGTCACTTTTAATGCTTCCCAGTTACTACACTGTGTAACATGTACATGAATTTTATCAAGAGTAGATAATTAGTTAGGGAGAGTGTCTAACCGCCCTATAGTAGCTGAAACATCACCGTGTAGAACTAAGTCACGTGAGTCCCGAGGCACAATGTCTGATGCTGAAGATTATTAGAAGAATAGGAATGAATTTATGAAACATGTGGTGACAGGTGTGGTTTTCATAACTACCCACACCCTATACACGTGGTCCCAGTGGAAGATGATGGAACAGCTTCTCATGAGTAAGTATTAGGCATTCCTGATCATTGAAGTAACACTTATTGATTATGAACCCCTTCAAGTTGTTAGATAAGTATCAGTGACAGAATAGTCGTCTGCTGTATCTTCCTCATGTAGCACAAACTCGGCCGCCATTTTACAGGTTAATAAGGTTATTAATTACACGCCCATACATAAGAATAGAATTCTGAAACTCCACTACTGATCTAAGTATGCGGAAATGCCCAGAGATAAGCAAAAAAAGACTACGCGGTGATGTTTCAGCTACTATAGGGCGGTTAGACACTCTCCCTAACTAATTATCTACTCTTGATTTTATGTATATTGGTCCTCAGATATTAATTTCAAATATTCCTCTAAGATCTCTTTATATTATATTTATTTTCATTTGTATTTTCATTTATATTGTTAGGCATATGTGTTTGAATTAGATGATGAATATGAGGAGAGTGATATTCCTACCACTTTAATAAGAAGTAAAGCTGATTGTCCAATGTTAGAGGTAAAGGTTACATTGTATTTACATGTATGTACATGCATAGACAATTGTGTAGGATACAAATACTTTTTGTGGGTGGAGTGAGTCCATCCAGTGAATCATTGTGCATGTATCAGGAATGATTTTTTTATGAAAATGTCTTTGTACATGTAGATTTGTAAACTTTCAAATTGTAGCTTTTTGAATAAATCATGCATCGATAGTATATTAGACACTCAATATGCAATACATGTACATGTATTGTTAATACATGTACATGTTAATATATTAATCCTTGAATGTACAGTACATGTGCATTGTAAACGTACACATTAATGTTGTTATTTATATTTTTCATTATTATTAGTCTCAGGCTACATTAACAACAAATGACATTGTTATCAATAAACTGACACAAATCCTGTCTTACTTGAGACAAGGGTCAAAGAAATTGAAGAAGAAGGAGAAAGGTGCGTACAGATTCTAATTATGATAAAAATTACATGTACATGTACATTGTACCAAGAATCCATTATATTTAGTGGACTCTTGATTGTACTTATACATACATGTACATGTATATAAATATAGTACAGTTGCATTGCAATGACTACATCATTCTGTCCTCTGAATAGTATAATTGTACATATTTAGAGTTACAATAATTATAGCATAATTTCAAACAATTAGCTTGGATTAATTTTTTTGTTTAGTGTCTAAAATTTCATTTTGAAAATTAGCTGCCCCAAAACAGGTACATGTATGATAGAAATTACATGTACACGTATTTTTTTATATTTTTATCACAGAGATATAATTGATTATTCAGCTCCTAAGAAACCAGCTGTGCAAAAGGAAGAGAGGTTTGTCACTACATGTACTATAATGTAGTAATTCATTGCATATGCCATGCATGTACAAATTAAGAGGTGTGCAGTATTGGAAAACTTTCTTCAATATACATGTACGTGTATTATACAATCTACAGCCAATATACTTGTACTTCACTTTGACTCAATTCTGATGAATGAATTAATCTGTTTTCAATTACTATTACTACTATTGTACATGTTATCTCATGTACTATACAACAACTCTAAAGCTCTTTTTTGCTTTAATATGTACATGTACATGCATATATACATGTACATGTACATGTATGTACATGTATGTACATGTATATAGTCATTAGCTATTAAGGATAGTATTTTATTTTTTATTTTAGTATATTTCCTGATATGGGTGAATATGATTTCGATGCGTCTGCAGTTCCGTCTGATTTATCAAAGAGAGATCAACAGTTATTCACTAAAAGTGAACCCACACAAGATTATGAAGTATTCCAGTGATGGCCTGTGTCTTGCATGTACATGTACATGTACGTCTTTTAAATAGGACATCAAGAAAGCTACTAAAGAATTTGTCAAGGCTGTATGGAAAAAGTATGCTGATTCTTCATCCATTCCAGTGAGGGGAAAATCCTACACGTAACTATACTGTCATACATGTACATGTACCTAGAAGTTTCTGCAGCCTATTGGAGATCTCTTGACATTTGCTAAATTAACAGACATTTTGGGCCACGAAAATTTTCAGCTTTACAGTACATGTGTGTTACTTTATTATTTTTAGGGTGAGAGGACTCATTCTGATGGTCCATTACCTTCTGGTTGGTCTGCTGGAGAAGTAGATAGAACACAGTAAATGGCAGTAATTCATTATTGTATTATAATATAATCTTCATTATTGCCTCCTCGAATAATGAGAATGTGAATGGAAGGTACATGTACATGTACATGTGAATATTGAAACTCATTTGCAAGTACATGTACACTTGATTTACATGCTACACTAAATTTTATTTATTTATAACCAAAAAGTAAAAAATGATTTTATTCACTTATCCACAGTGCTAGAAGCTCTAGTACCAAAACAACAGAACCAGTTCTTATGAAGAAAGCAAAAACTGATGATGTTGGATTTGGTGGTTTAGATCATGATCATTATGCTGAATGCTGTCCTGGGTCAGTCCTTAATATTAACATTAATCTAATCACAGTATTAATGAATCTTATTGTATGTTCAATCTTTCACTTAAACTTTTGTACATGTACATGTAACATACATACTTGTATCATCATTTTAAAGGTGTTATTACTTCTCTGTGAGATTGTACATTGAGATTGCATACCGTTGTTGATTAGCATATAACATGTATATGTACATGTATGCATGTGCATGTGCATGTAATTAATAATGTTATTTATTATTTGTAGTGGTATGGAAGAAGTCGATGCAACTGTCAATAGTGATGATGAAATTGACTTCTCTAAAATGGACATGGTAAGTACATACACATACATGTAGTCATGTACAGTGATTTACATGCACACAATCATCCTCCTATTAGTATTGAAAGGGTTGCCTTTGTTTTTTTGTATATTTGAAAAATGCTCATAATTAAGTTATAACCTAGGAATCTGTTGTGTGGGTTTCCCAAAAAGCATGCTAAGGGAGCTAAACAGCATGGGACATGTATGTGGCTTTTGGAGTAACTTTTAAAATTTATTTTAAAAATCCAATTTCGATCGGAATCATCTCAAACTTTGTGCGCAACATGATTACGTGTATATGTATCAGAAAAAATTATTAAATTGGAGAATTTTCTCCATTTCACTTTTGATGAAATTTGACCAAATACCCTGTACTATAGTACAGGGACTTTCGTCTGATTTTTGACTAACTTAAAAAAATTGTAAAAAATTAAATTTTGATCGGAATCATTTCAAACTTTTTAGGCAACATGAGTATGTGTATATGTATCAGGAAAAATTATTAAAATGGAGAATTCTCTCCTTTTCATTTTTGGTGAAATTTGGCCAAATAAAATCTACGTGTACCCTGTACTGCAGTGCATGGTGTTTCATTGAGTTTTAATTTTTAAATCCACCATTTAAAGATGCTAAGTACTATACCAAAAACATGTGGAAGGCCTGTCTGTTGTTAGAAATAGCTCAAACTTTCACTAGAGCATGCATATACATGTACACAATGTACATGTACTGTAGGTATCAGAAAATCAATAAAACTTTGTTTGGTTTTTGGTGTCATGGCTACACATGTTAGATGTACTGTACATGTATTGGGTTTGGGTCATACAATTGTCAAAGAAAATTCTAACGACCATTGTGATGATTAATATTAGCACATTAACAATTAATGTACATCATATCATCTATTAATAGGGTAATCGTAAAGGCCCTGTTAAAAGATGGGATTTTGAGAATGAGGAAGATTATGGGAACTATCAGTCATCAAGGGAAGCACTACCAAAGTATGTCCAGCATAAACTGTCATTTATAGTTAATGATTTTATTGTATTAAGAGCTGCTTTCCAGTTTGGAGTTAAAATGAATGACGGTTGTAAGACTCGTAGACAAGGTGTCAAGAATGAGAAAGCAAAACTAGGACAGAGAATGGCAGCAGATCAGTCAGGTCAGTGTATGAGTAGAGTATACAACAAAAACGCATATTGTTTCATTTGTTTGTCCCGTTCACTATACCTGTATTAAGTAAATAATGTACCATAGATAAAGTAGATTGATGATGAGCTAATTGCATAGTTACTCTTTAAAATATTTAAGGCACTTGTCATTTAATTAAAGTAACTAATATTTAAAGAGCTAAGACCTGTTGACTCATTAGCTGCACATGTGTCACTCTATTGATGCATGTGAATTTCAGCTATTAGATAGTCTTAATTTTGAACTAAGTTATTAACAATTATCAATATAGTTTACACACAAAGCTTATTAATTTCAAGGATATACAGTACATGTATGTATTTGTTGGCTTGTAATGATTAACTTTATTTTTAGATTCTTCAAAAAAGAAAGTCAAGTAAAACAGAATCGTAAGTTAGTTTTGTTACTTTTAAAGATTTTACTCTATCGTTTTAGTGATTCCAAGCGTCCCAAGACTTCAGATTAACTTTTTAAAACATTTTATTGTGTCATAATAATCATTAAATGATTTGGAAATACATGTAAATAATAATATTAATTGGATACTATTAATTGATTGTTAACATAAAAGATATTTTGATTACTATATACTGTGTAGTGTTCAAATTGTTGTATGTCAGCTTTAGAGCATTAATAGTCACATTAATTTTCACTGCCACCAGTTATAAAGCATTACTTAATACTCATGTTCCTACTACTTCTGTTACTACTAGATGTAGTCTCACAAGCCAGACCATTCCCTAGCCTACAGATAGGCTGGGGAATGGTCTGGCTTGAGAGACTATAATACTAGATGTACAAGGCAATGCGGGAAATGATGCAGATCCACATATCTTGTATTCACTAGTATCAAAAGGGAAATCCTACATGCAGGGCAGGTAGAGCTATCTAAATGGTTCACGTGATCCCATAGCAATGAATGGAGAATGTGCGTCACAATCCATGTTCAAAAAATTCAATTAATTTTTATTACCTTGAGAATCAACCAAAGGACTTTATTTAGGTTTATTTGTAAGATAGTTTGTAACTGAGGTAGCTCTTGTCATTAATAATGTTATAGATCTATACTGATTATAACTATTTATTGAAATTTTAAAATACATAATTACACCTGCAATCCATATATAAATCGGCATAAATTGACTATTTTCAGTGATAACTTCCATAAAAACAGTTTTGTACCTATAACTCACCATCAAAGGATAAACAATGAAAGTCTATAGCATACCAGGCAACTATAAGTAGACCTGCATGCCAATAGCACACTTTCAAATCTTATTCAATACTCCTGTAATAGTAATGGTAGTCGGGGCCAGACTATAGTAATGGAAACTTTCAGAGAAAATTTATTGTCTTCTTTTGCACCTCTACCAGCAGTACCAAAGATCTTACTGTAACAATTATTGCCACAGGGGTTACTGAAGTGCTACTTTAGTGCAATGACCGTATAATTTTACTTGTATGTTGTTCTTTATAGATCATGGGACAAAAAGTAAAATTTAGACATTTCAAAAACAAAATTCTTAAAAAACAATAATTTATTCCTATAAAAGATACTGTCTATATTTTTGGTTTAGAATATATACATACAGAACCAAATAATTTTGAAGATAAGTTCATGTTAATTTCTAAAATGTGACTGTGAACTGTCACATACATTGCATCAGTGCCGGAGCAAACCATAAGGCACTATTATAATTTATGATTGATTTTCATGCAGAAGAACTTTAGTCTTCATTGTTGTTCTACTGTGCCTTTATAAGATGAAATTTTTTTATAGTTAATAACCTTTTAACAACCACCAGGAGTACTGGTGATGAAGCTGAAACAGGAAAGCGTGGGCGTTTCCGATCTTTTATTTAATTAATTTCATTTAATGCTGAAGCATAGGATCTAGGGTCTACGAAGACAAATGGATATCATACCTTCTTTATTGCTACTCTCAAGCTCTCTTTTGCTGTTAAATGTCGCAGGGGACTCGCCATGTAGTGAAGGATTCATGGACTACAGCCTTCTGGAGTCCAAAGCTGGTGATACTGAAATTTCACAATCTATACCCAACAATATAGCTAAAGGAGATCCTTCAAAATGGATCATTCAAGATAATAGCAATAAGTTTGATTGCTCTGATACAATGACATTGAGAGAAGTCCTTATTGGCGTTGATATTAGGACTGAGACTAGTACAAGAAATAAATATCCTAGCATTGAGGTTTGGCGTGTAAATGGTAGTTCCTCTAAAGGTGGAAGTAGCTATAAAAAATATGACCCAGGAAAATCCTTCACAATAAAACTCTTTCCTGATAATTTTACAACAAGCGGTCTTTATCGATATAGACTTTCACCTTCTTTATCAATCAACAGACATGACAGGCTTGTTCTATATCAGCCTTCTAATGCTGAGAGTGTGGTGAGATTCTATACAGTGACTAGCAACTCAAATGAAGATCAAATTGGACGGTTTGATGAGATTGATGAAAACGAGGTACGTGTTAGGTCCATGGGTAGAATGGAGGCTACAGTTTCATGGACCACTTTTACTAAAGTTCTATTGCAACCAATACTGGGTATGTTTACTGGTTTTTTTAATTTAGAGCTGCAACTTGAAATCAACTATAAATTCAATTTTTGGTATTTTAATTATTATAATTTCTTTTATAGACAATACAGATTGTTATTCCATTGATGAATCATTTGATGCTAAAAGACTCTTGGTAACAAATTTAAAATTAGTCAGTGAAATTAGAGTGTTCCCTAGTATAAAGTTCACATGTCACGGTATCATTACAAAATGGATAATTGTTGCTACAACTGATACTCATCCATTAATAATGATAAGACATTCTGATAATACTACAACCAATGCAATATCAATAGACATAGACACTATTCCATCAGCAATGGACTCCAACGTGTATAACATCACAGTGACTGATGAGATCAGAGTACAGCCTGGTGATGTATTAATGATCAATAGTACTGGCACTCATATGTACTATCAACAATACAATGGACCTTTTAACTACAGACTGGGACCTAACAGTGTACTAGCAAGGATAGATTCTAATGATTATCCACTCATCTCTGCTGTAATAAGTTAGTGATAATACTTTATTATAATTTCTAGTTCATATTTCATTACTGATAGGGTCAACTATACCTTCTTCTGATGTGTTCAGGATAACTTCCTCTTATACTGAGAGTCCATCTGAAGTCATTTCTAAATCAACTGTGATCATCACCACAACAACAACACAGACAGCATACCACACACTGTCAAGCAGTTTGTCAACACTCATCATTCAAACAGCAGTCACAAATGTACCTATTACCCCAACAACCGTTCCTGCATCAAATTTTACTTCAACAAGTATTATTCCTAGTTTTTCTACATCTAATGAACATAATCTTCCTCCAACAGGTACTGTAAATATTTCTCTAACAATGACTACACCAAATACTTCATCTATTCCTCCAACATCTATTGTCCCTACTAGTACGCCTTAATCAAATATTATGTTAAGTATTACTCCGGCCATATCATTTATCATTTCGTAACTAACATCATTAAATATTTTCCTTCATAGAACCAATTCCTAATGAAAGTAGTCATCCTGTACGGTCACAAGGAAGCATCAGTCCAACAGAAGTCACTCGTACACAAAACACTGTATCACGAGGCAATCCTACCAGTGAAGTGTTAGTCACTTCAAGTAGTAATGCTACCTCACTGACCACTACACCAATGGAAAGCACACCTGATCAAAGTACAGGGAGTGTAATACTAACAGGAAGTATTAGTAGTGTATTTATATTACTGGTAGTTACTATACTAGTAATATTAATAGTGAGTGTATTAGTGTGTAAAAGAAGATTGCATAAAACTTCAAATGGAAATGATTTCAATTCTGATGAAATAAAAGCTGATATAAATCAACAATCAGATGGTAATGTTTATTGGACTGGCCTACGCTTTGCGTAGTTAAATTTGTATGCAAACAAATAATAAAAATTAATTCAATTTATAGTACCAAGTATAGATAACAGATTGAATACACTAACAGCATCAACTAATCCTGCTTATGGAGTAATTGGGGAACAAGAAAGTAAGAATAAATATATCACTCTTAATAATATTAACATCATGACATAGACTGTAATACTGATGTATCTGCTAATCCTGCTTATGGTATTATTGAAAGTAAGATGAATTTTTAAATTATTATTATCAACCAATACAACTATTAGTAGGATCTTGTATCTCTGCTAATCCTGCTTATGGTGTTAGCACTGGAGGAATGGAAAGTATGTGTATAATAGATCTAGTGTGTATGCATGGGGATAACTTGTGCATGGACATATATTTTTGTTGTTTGTATGTGTGTGTGTGTGTGTGAGTAATAATTAGTAACACGGTAGCATTACTAAGTTCAAAATGGCTACCATGACTTTTGCAACCTTGCTATATATTACTTTGAATTAAAGATATTGATCAAGTATATGATGAACCAAGAACAATGATGTATAATGAACAAGAGGTAAGTATCTTATAAAATTGAATTGAAGACCTGTCAAATACAATGCTTATATACTCACAAAAGTAATACACCATGGCCTTTGGTAACTATCATATTAATTACATTGATAGGATATTATAGTAACAGATGAGGCACATCAACAAATGAAAGAAGAAGAAGAAGAACTGTACATATAACAGGAACAATGTTAATGACATAAATATATCAATACTAAACTCTTTTTAGATCAATTATAGTCTTGATTTCATTATTAGTAATAAGCTAATAATCTATTGCCATTCAATTTCTATAGCAATAAACTCTCCCATTTAATGTCCTCAATAATTTCATCTGGTACCACTTGATTCTTTGCCATGCATCAAAATAGTAAAACTCATTAACCATGATAAGCTACTACTTTGTTAGAATTCCTATATTTTGAAACCTATGCTGATGTTACCTAATTATTTTATATTCAAACACAATCGCAATCTAACTAATAATTAAATTGAAAAAAACAAAATTCAACTGACAACGAAACTACACAAATCACTGAAATCAGCATCCACTACTTTATTAATGTCTCAATTGATTTAACATAAATCTCATAGTAACTAACTGGGGAATCTTCATTGCTTATTGATTCATCTTCACGCACCCTCAACTCAAGATAGTCAGTAATCATAGTGTTAGATCTACCCTATAGTTTCTGTGGAACCATGGGATACCAGAAACAAAACAACAAGGTGATTTACGAGAAACACAACCTTGACCATCCCGGAGTGGATCAGATGTGAGAAGTGTATATATTCAGAAGAACCATAGTTATCTGACTCAAAAAAATAGTTATTACCAAAAGAAGACTGCACATGCAAATACTGTACTACCAGTATTACATGGACATGCACTAGATGCACTACTATCCTGAACATATCCATTCATTAACGTCCAAACATGTTAATGAGAGGATCCACAGGTAATATTAACACCATCAACATAATAAGAATTGATGCTACTATGATATGAATAATTTGGGTTTTGGATTGTGCTAGCACCACATACAGTATAATATTTTATGTTGTACATATAGTGGTTTATCAAAAAGAAAATCCCATATATAAGAACTTGGAGGTTGATAGAGCTAATATTGATCAATGTTGTCTCACATAAGCCGACCCAATTTCAGTTTGTTTATTCAAGCTATTGAAGATTATGTCTTCCCATTTTCTATTAGTAATACTGCTGTGCTTCATGAGTAATGGGATATTACTGGAGGCTAATGGAGAGTCTTGTACTGAAGGATTTATGGATTATAGTCTTCTACAGGATAAAGCAACAACTCCATCAGGACCATTACGTAATAACAGACTAACTGAAGACACTGCAACAAGATGGATCATCATTGAGGACTCTATGGGGAATGATGTCATGTTCACATGTGCTACAGTTATAACAGAAATATTGATTGGAGTTGATATAAGGACAGTCAATGGTAATAGAAATTTATATCCAAAATTTGAAGTATGGAGTCCAGCTAACGACTTCAATGAGTACACTAGAGTGATGTCTGTTGAAATCAGACTGACTCCTGATAACTTTACAACTAATGGACAGTATTGTTTCACTCTCCCTACTCCATTAAATGTCTCCAGTGGATACAGGATTGGTGTATATCAACCTCCTGATGACAGAAGTGTTGTTAGATTCCATTATATGAACCTGTCTGGTGGTATTGATGGAATAGGGAAAGTAAAATTAAATAAAATTGATGATACTAGCATTAGAATATTGGGATCAGGCAGAGATGTTGATTATGAATCACGGACTATACTAATGCAACCCATAGCACAGGATACAAGTATGTAATAGATCAATCATAATGATAAATAACTCATTTCTATTAATTTAGGTTGCTTTTCACAATTTGTACCTGGTGATGTAATCAATTTATTAAGTTATTACATTACTAATTCAATATTTATTTCTGATACTAGAATATTTCCTGATGTAAGGTTTACATGTCATAGTATTATTACTAACTGGATATTAAGTTCTTTTGTTACACATTATATGCCAGTAATTAAAATAAGACGATCAAATAATCTCACTACTACAGCACTACCAGTGAACATCAGTAATGCTGTTAGCATATCTCAGAATTTATATAATTTTACTATGAGCAATGAGATAACAGTACAACCTGGTGATAACTATAGATCTATGGAATAAGAAATGACACAGACTCAGAACCTGTTGCATTTTATTTAGGAAAGGCCAACAAGTTATTTTTCAGCAGTAAATCTGGGTACCTTGTCTGTTGGAAAAAATTAAGTTTAGAAAGTATTGGTCTCATTTTCTATCACGACAGAATCAAGAAGCAGCTCATGTTGATATGAGTGGATCATTTTTTGAATCTTATGATCAATTCTGCATGCATATAGTTAGTCAATTTCCCAAAACTTTCATTGCTTTTAGCAGTTTTCCCCATATTAACTTTTGTTATTGACACTAGATATATAATAATTATGTGTGACATTGTTTTGAATTAAAGGTACCGGGGGTATATACAATAATGTATAATGAACAAGAGGCAAGTATTTTTATAAACAATAACTAAAAACTTACACTGGTAGGATATGATATTAATGAATGTGGCACATGGACAAATGAAAGAAAAAGAGCTGTATGTCTAACTGAAAGAACAATGAATATAGATCTAACTTAGTAGTAATTTCAGTTTTAAAACATTTAACTATTATAATTACATTAATTTTCACTGCCACCAGTTATAAGGCATTACTCACAAGCCAGACCATTTTTTGGGCTCGGGAATGATATGGCTTGAGAGACTATATACTAGATGTACTTCCTCACTAAGTGCTAGTACTCAATACCATAACAAGGCAATGCAGGAAATGATGCAGATCCACATATCTTGTTTTAATCAAAAGGGAAATCCTACATGCAGGGCAGGTAGAGCTATCTAATATCTCATCATCACCCAACTTTTAGTTTGTTCGTTTACTCTGCTCTCTGTTGAAGTAATGTCTGTATGTCTGTCTGTTGTCTATAGCAACCCCCTGTCATCCCATAGTAACCCCCCACACAAATTCAATTCAGTGGGTCATTGAAATGTTTAGACCTATAATAATAGCCTCACATTCAAGCCCACACAACTTTATTATCTCTGCTCATACACCTAGGCTAGCTCTGTTGAAGATGATGTCTTCCTATCTTCTATTAGTAACACTGCTGTGCTTCATGAGTAATGGAATATTACTGGGGGTTAATGGAAAGTCTTGTACTGAAGGATTTATGGATTATAGTCTTCTACAGGGTAAAGCAACAGATCCATCAGGAATGCTACGTAATAACAGACTAGCTGAAAACACTGCAGCATCAAGATGGATCATCGTTGAGGACTTTATGGGGACTGATATCATGTTCAGGTGTGCTACAGTTGTAACAGAAATATTGATTGGAGTAGATATAAGGACAGTTAATGATAATGTTGGTAGAAATTTATATCCAAAATTTGAAGTATGGGCTCCAACTAATGATGATCATGTGTACACTAGAGAGATGTCTATTGAAATCAGACTGACTCCTGATAACTTTACAACTAATGGACAGTATCGTTTCACTCTCCCTACTCCATTAAGTGTCTCCAGTGGATACAGGATTGGTGTATATCAACCTCCTGATGAGAGAAGTGTTGTTAGATTCCATTATATGAACCTTCTTACTAATATTGATGAAACAGGAAAAATACAACCACTTAAGATTAATGATACTAACATTAGAATATCAGGATCAAGTCCAGATGTTGATTACGAATCATGGAATATACTAATACATCCAATAGCACAGGATACAAGTATGTAATAAATCAATCATAATGATAAACAACTCTTTTTTATTAATTAAGGTTGCTTTCCACAATTCGTACCTGATGAAACAATCAATTCATTAAATTATTTGATTACTGATTCATATTATGTTTCTGACACTAGAATATTTCCTGATATAAGATTCACATGTCATGGTATTATTACTAACTGGATAGTTTTTGCTCCTGCACAAGTTATGCCAGTAATTAAAATAAGACATTCAAATAATCTCACTACTACAGCAGCAACATTAAACACTAGTGCTAGTAATGCTGTTATGGTAACTCCTCTTTTATATAATTTTACAATGAGCAATGAGATAACAGTACAACCTGGTGATATACTGATGATTGAAAGTAATGCTACAAATTATATGTTTTATCAGCAATACAATGGACCACACAATTACAGACTGGGGGGCAACAATGAGTTAATTGCATTAGATACCAATGACTATCCACTCATCTCAGTTGTAGTAGGTAAGAATAACATTTTATAAACATTATATAAGTCAATAATTATTTATTTCCAATGTCATCATAGAGCCTTTTACAGATACAGCTACTTCAACAATCAATAGTACACATGTTAATACTGTCACTACTGTGCTTCCATCATCAAGCATATACTCCACAGCTACTGTAACAATGGAATCAATGGAATATAGTAAAACTAGCTTAATATCAAGTAACAGTTTATCATTGACTATAGGTACTACATCAGTGATGGGTACACCAGTTAGTACATTACAAAGTACAGACAGTAATACACTAATAATAGCAGGAAGTATTAGCACAGCAGTATTTATATTACTGGTAGTTACTATACTAGTAATATTAATAGTGAGTGTATTAGTGTGTAGGAGAAGATGGAATAAAACATCAAATGGAAATGATACTTTCAATTTTGTTGAAAGGAAAGCTGATATAATTCAACAATCAGATGGTAATATTTATTATAATAAGTGTGTATATGTAAACATGATAAAGAAATTAATTTATAGCACCAAGTATGAATACCAGACAGAATACACTAACAGCATCAACTAATCCTGTATATGGAGTTACTGGTGAAAGTAAGTACATTTAATATAAAATATAATAACATTAAGACATAGGATGTATTACTGATGTATCTGCTAATCCTGCATATGGTGTTACTGGAAGTAAGATGAATTTTTAAATTATAATTATCAATCAGTACAACTATTAATAGAATCTGGTATCTCTGCTAATCCTGCCTATGGTACTAACAGTGGAGGAATAGAAAGTATGTAATAGTGTGTATGGAAATGAGTGGACAGATAATTGTGAGAGTATGATATCTTTAATTGAACAAATTATGTGTTTATGTGAACAAAGCAATGGCTGTATAAAATGATATCACTGTCCTTATAATTAGATTTGTATGTAGATGAATATTAAAAGAATATTTTATATTGAACTATAGGTATCAATGAAGAATCATTAGTGTATGATGAACCAAGAACAATGTATCATGAACAAGAGGTAAGTAGATCTATATCAAGAGTATACTGTCAACTGCCAATTACCAAGTGAATGCATTATGTACTGAACTTAGCTCTACTAGTGCAATCATGTATTTCTTGTTAATTCAGTTGGCATAAAAACACCATCAGTATTTCTTATTAATGTTTCTTTTTAACAGCTATTGTAGCATATTCATTCAATATTGTATATTATTTTACAGGTTATAATGATGCAAAATGAAGCATATGGACAAATAGATTTATGAAACAACAAACTACACCTTCCACATTGACACAATTCAATTGCATTAATTTGTGCTTGTGTGTTCTATTAACCTATATGCTGTACCACTAGCTCTCATGAGCAACCTCTCTTTTTGATGGGAAGGTTCATTAATTTATATGCTATACACCATACAAGTTATACTTGTCAATGTGCACACATTATTATAGTCACGTGTGCGTAGTTACCTTCATTGTACATTATTAGTTTAAGAAACACATGACATAATATAATACACAGTGGGGGGCCGTTACCGTACATCGGAGTAAAATGGCTACTACTATTAACTTCTTTACGTTGATACAGATACACGTATACATGCATACATGTTGTCCAGCATTGGAGGCGTAGGTTATATACACTGTGCAGGCTGCATGTACATGTATGCACACATAAATAAAGTTTTACGCAACAATGAGTTTTATACACACACTGACACTTCTTGTGGGTGCAGTTCCATGATTCTTCTTTTTCATTACACTTCCTTGTTCACTTGTGTCATGTAAAATTTCAAGTTGATTCCAGTCAAAATTGGATCTTTTATCACTAAACTTGCCTAAAAAATCTTTAAAAAAACATGTACCATACATAGTACAAGGTAATTTCATCAAGCACTGATTGTGAAAGAATTTTTCCCATCTCTTATGAAAATTTGAGGGGATTTTGGAAAATGAACTACAATGTTGAATATGAATATGTTATTAATTAAATCCTACCTCATGTTCGAAGATTGTATTTTATGTTAAAGCTCTTTCCTTCTGTTTCAATTCAATCCATATAGTTATCACTATTAATAATTGTATTTTTCTTAAAACAATTTCAACTTCATTTGTAGATAGTAGATGCGACCAGTCTATGCAATTATTAGCTCTATGTGTATTGATTATTCACTGATTACTAGAGTCTAAAAAAGATTATTAATTAGATTATATATTTGATGATAGCTCCGGCAATCATTGCAGTACAAGTAACATTAATTGTCTCTTCAAGTGGATCAGGATATACAAACAAGCAGTGTGTTGTTATAAATGCGAAGGAATCAGTTGATTTATACAATGTATTATTCTTTATCATCCACTAACCAGGTAACATCAGTTGATGAATCTATTATCATTAGAAGTATAGATCTAATACAGTGGAGTTGATGACTAAAAGTATGAAAAATATTACAAAATACAGCAAATCACTTCTAATATTACTACTTTGAAGCTAGTGCCACTAGCTTGGAGTGATAACCAATGGAGAAGCTAGGTGGAGTATTAAATAATAAAAGATTCTGGCATCTCCACTGCCCATGGAGATGCCATAATTTTTGTCTCTTACTCTATTTTTGCTGTATACTATTAGCAGAAGCTTTTACTGTCGATTCAACTGAAAAGGTGTTCACTAACTACCAGCTACAAATTTATAGGAAATTTTGGAGAAAAGGAGTTAATGAGGCCCTCAAGAATTACTATGGCACACGAGGAAACACGTGGCATAGCTATCCAGGGATTTACGGATATTTTCTAGTAACTTTCAGTAATTGCCACCTCCTCACCTGGCCTGCACATTATGGATGAACCCAAAGGAATTGTCAGATTAGAACAATCAGTAGTAAACAGAATAGCTGCAGGAGAAGTAAGTGACTTCTGTTTGCTTTAAGATGTATATTCATGACTATGTAAGGTTATACAGAGACCAGCCAATGCTATAAAAGAAATGATTGAGAATAGGTTAGTTTATAGCATGTTGATATACAATGTACTGTATATCCTAAAATAAAAGCCAGATGTGAATAAACACTGGGGTAGCAATAGAATTGAAGTATAAATACACAAATCTAGCCTTGAAGTAACGCAGATGCTTTGTAGATACTTCCTTAAGTTCTGGAAGTCAAATACGAGAGGTCACAGGTTCAAATCCCACTCTGGGCCCAAGTTTTATTTTTTAAAAATTTTTCGAGGTCCAAGTACCATTTTAGGAAGTAGACGCTGGGGCTTTTATTTAAGGAAATACAGTACATGGATATTGTGTAATGGTTGTTGTGATGTCACTGTCACTGTACATCATGTGATACTAAGGACGTGTATACCAACCTTCATTTAGGGCAAAGGCTTACCGTATAGCTTCAAATTTTGTTGGTGAAAATTTTTGTCAAATTTGTCAGGTATTTTTGTTTGCCGAAACTTTTAACCGACAAAATTTTTGTTCCAAGTGTGTACTATACAGATTAATAGCAAAAATGATAAAATTTTTATGGGCGAAAATTAATTTTGACAAGAATGTAAGATTTTGACGAAATTTTTTGACTGATGAAAATTTGGAGCGATACAGTATCTCTTCTGTCCTTTTATTTGCTTTTTGTGTGTAACTTCTATCATACTATGTTGTGCTGTCTGTTATTTTATTAGTGACACTTTTCTTTACATTTATCCATACATGCATATCCATTAGAAAGTGCTTAGTTAGGTTTGGTCTACTGTATAATAAAAACAATAGTCTAGTAGTAACTAAAGTATACATGCATGGCACTATGTACTGTAGATACTATGTACCTATGTATCTACTACAGGGCATCTATGATATTTGTAGGCTACATTTACATCTTTATAGTTCCATTTTATTGCTAACCTGGCGTTTATTTGCACCCGGTTTTTGTTTGAGGATTGACGGTATACATGCATGGCACTACAGTATGTACTTACACTTTTAGAATGCTCAGTAAGTTCTTTAAATGACATTAAAATGACATTGCATTAAAATATTATGCTACTTTTTTATTAATTTTTTTAGTATAGATGCTGGTGCCACTACTATACAAGTATCTGTTAAGAATGGAGGCATTAAGATGTTACTGATACAAGATAATGGATCTGGAATCTCAGTGAGCTTCCTTTTATGATAAGTAATGCATGTGATACACCTAAGGCCTTTTCACACTTGTCCACTTTTGATCCAGAAGTGAGATAAAATCCAGAATTAAAAAAGGATTGGCTTGTTCACACTTGTCTTGAATCAGGATTGAAGCTAGATTCAGTCAATCCACATCCGGAGGTGGTTTGATTGACCTTAGTTATATATTCATAACCCGTAGAAGCCAATGCAGTTTAATTCTTTCAAAGTAGCTTAGTGTGAACACAACCAAAGAGGATTCTATTTTAGTACATGTAGGTTGCAATTATGGATTCAAAGTGTAAAGGCCTTCTATGCTTGTGTGGATGAGTACTTGAAAAAATGTTTTATGATATTCATGTAGTGCTGTGACTTTCCTTGGATTATTAAAACCTTTGTTATGCTTCATACATTGTCTGTTTGTATAAATTGCCCAGAAGTTTAGACTATCTTCCCACGATTCAGAAATTCTTTTGTTATTGCCAATTGTGCTTTCTAAGATAATTCTTTTTCAAAGGCACTGATGTGTTTCGTTAACTGTTTTTTTAATGATTGTTTTATTACAAAAAGGTTCAAAGGTGTTAACTTTCAGTCACAGCACTATTGAGTACTTTATTTTGGTTTTCTTTGTCTCTTTCTTTCTCTTCTTTGGTCAGTTTTGACTTACTTTTTTATCTAGAAAGAAGACTTGCCCATCGTATGTGAACGTTTTACAACTAGCAAACTCAAGTCATTTGATGATCTTTCATCTATTAATACTTATGGATTTAGAGGAGAAGTTAGTAGCTACATGTACATACGTGTACATGTACATATACTTTTTTGTGTAGAAAATTTGAGCTGATTTTGGTCAAAATTGAATTTTTATGAATATTTATTTTTGCTTCAGGCTATAGTTCTAGAATTTATATGTATGGTCTTTTGACAAAGGTTCATTTTAAGTACTTACATGTACATGTATGTGTACAACTCGGAATATTGATGATTAATATAATGTTATGATAGTTTTGTCTTCTGTAGGCTTTAGCAAGTATCAGTCACATAGCTCATGTCACAATAACCAGCAGGACAAAGAATGACAAATGTGCTTACAAGTATGCCAGCCATCCAATTAATACTAATAACCATGCATACATAAAGCATGATATTGTAGTCTACTAGTATGGTGTAGAGTTCCAAGTAAGTGGTAGCATGCTCTCTTGAGAAGCAATTAATTCTAATGAAATGCTTGTGGCTACGATGCTAATAATACTGCATTGTCATTGTTTGTTCAGTGCAAGTATGGCAAATTGGCAAGTGGATTAAACTATGTGTGTCAGTATGTCTTGAATATAATGAAGCATGTATGCTAATTATTGTCAGACTGTCTAACCTTTGTCTACACAAGTATGGTGTACATGAATTTAAAAGGAACACTATTAGTCTCCAACCACCTCTAATTTATTTCTAGGCAGAACCCTGGTGTATGCATACATACAATCATGTACATGCTATATTTCATCTGCTTATTATGTATTGAGTCATTGTTCATTATTAGAGCTTCATATAGTGATGGAAAGCTAGTTTCAACTCAGAAAAGTAGTGGTCCTCCTGAACCTAAGCCCTGTGCAGGTAATAGAGGTACTCAGATACAAGTTGAAGACCTTTTCTACAACATGGTGACACGTCGTAATGCTTTGAAGAACCCTGCTGATGAATATCACAGAATAGTTGATGTAGTGAGCAAGTAAGAATGATTACATGTATGTATACTGTAATTGTTATAATTATAATTTTATTGGTGTTATGTGTGTTTAGTGGAAGTTTTACATATAATGTACATGTAGTATATAGTACAATGTATCATATAGAAGGAAATTTTGGAAGTAGTTAAATTTGGCGAGTTTGGCGTTTTGGTAGCCATTTGCCAAAGTAAAAATGCACCATTTTGAGCCATTACATGTACATGTATGTGCATGCTCAATGGCACATGGCCACTAATTTGCCAAATTAAAATTTGCCAATCACTAAAATTTAGCAATTCGCCAAATTTAACTTACTCCAAAATTTCCTTCTGTACAGTATAGATTTATGTTATCTTGCTGCTCTGTATGAGAGAGTGCTGGAGTTGTGCCGCTGTCATTATTAAATGAATGATTATACAATTCACACGTACTTGTTGATACATTCATTGATACACTTAACTGTTGTATATACATGTACACATGTAGGCATACATGTATCTGCAAATGTTGTTTTTTGTTATAATTGTGTCATTACTTGTAGGGACTAAAATGATAAGTACATGTAGCTTGTACTCTATTGACCTATTGTTGTGTCTTGCTTTACTTGTTTAGGTATGCTGTTCATAACACTGGTATTGGTTTTACCCTCAAAAAAGTTGGTACAATCCTTCACTTCTTTTATTATTCTTAAATACAGTTTGGAGAGAGTGTTGTAGATGTTAGGACTTTGCCAGACTCTAGTGACATTGAAAACATAGGAGCTGTGTTTGGACAAGCTATAGCTAAGTAAGTAATAAGCATAATTGTACAAAAATCACTAAAAAATAATTCTCCATTTTTATAATTTTTTCTGATATATACATATCCTTATGTTGTGTATCAAGTCAACTTTCAGTCAAGTTTGGATTTTTTATGAGTTTTTAAGTTGCTCAAAAACCAGGCCAACAAGCCAAGGCTTTGGTTTTTGGCCAAATTTTATCAAAATTGACTAGGAGAGAATCTTCCATTTTTATGATTATTTCTGAAACATATGCACCTCCCTGTGTTATGTATCAACTTTGAGCTGATTTTGATCAAGTTTAAATTTTCTTATAAATTTTTTAAGTTTTTCAAAAATTATGCCAACGACCCAAGGCTATAGCCTTGGGCCGTTGGCCAGATTTTGCCAAAAATGACTAGAAGAGAATTCTCTATTTTTATAATTGTTTTTGATACATATACACGTCCTTATGTTGTGAATCAACTTTGAGCTGATTTCGATCAAGTTTGAATTTTTTATGAATTTTTCAAGTTTCTCAAAAATTAGGCCAACGACCTAAGGCTAACCCCTTTGGTCCTTCACCAGATTTTGCCAAAAATGACTAGGAGAGAATTTCCCATTTTCATAATTTTTTTTTGATACATATACATGTCCTTATGTTGTGTATCAAGTTTGAGCTGATTCCGACCAAGTTTAGATTTTTTATGAATTTTTCAAGTTTCTCAAAATTTAGGCCAACGACCCGACCCAAGGCTATAGCCTTGGGCCGTTGGCCAGATTTTGCCAAAAATGACTACAAAAGAATTCTCTATTTTTATAATTTTTTTCTGATGCATATACACGTCCTTATGTTGTGTATCAACTTTGAGCTGATTCCGATCAAGTTTGGATTTTTCATGAATTTTTAAATTTGCAAAAAAATCAGGCCAATGACCCAAGGCTAGCAACCCCTTTGGTCTTTTGCCAGATTTTGTCAAAATTGACTACAGGAGAATTCTTCATTTTTATAATTGTTTCTGATACATATACACGTCCTTATGTTGTGTATCAACTTTGAACTGATTTCAATCAATTTTGTATTTTTTATGAATTTTTAAAGTTTCTCAAAAAATCTAGCCAACGACCTAAGGCTAACCCCTTTGGTCCTTGGCCAGATTTTGTCAAAATTGACTAGGAGAGAATTTTCCATTTTTATAATTGTTTCTGATGCATATTCACATTTTCATGTTGTGTATCAAGTTTGAGCTGATTCCGATTAAGTTTGAATTTTTTATGAATTTTTAAAGTTGCTCAAAAAAAATCAGGCCAACGACCCAAGGTTAGCTTTTGGTCTTTGGCCAAATTTTATCAAAAATGACTAGGAGAGAATTCTCCATTTTATAATTGGTTTCTGTTTTAGTAAAGTGAAATAGTTAATAGTTTATGATTATGATAGGGAGCTGCTGTGTGTCTCATGTGAAAATACCAAACTTGGCATGAAAATGAATGGCTACATCACAAATCCTAATTATTCTGTTAAAAAGTTCCAGTTTCTTCTCTTTATAAATCGTAAGTACCATCCTCTAATAAAATCCCCTCTCAATTAGAAGCCCAGGAGTGTATAAAGTGCCGTATAGCTGGAAATTTTTGTGGCCCAAAATTTTTGTGGATTTCACATTTTTTAAAATTCACGAAAATAAAATCTGTGAAAATCAATTTAATATGGTTCAAGAGTAGAAAACTACAAAAATTGATGCCACGAAATTGATTTTTAGATGGATCCATGAAAATTTTGGGCCACGAAAGTATCTCGCTATACAGTATATAGGAGAGCCCTCAAATAAAAGCCTGTTTGTTGTGTATAAATTAGAGATAAGAAATAAAAGTGTGGGTATTTTTTTAATGATTTGCATTATTCATATTTGAAGAAGGCTTTTATTTATGTCAATGAAAATTTTGTAAATGCACGTACTTTTGCTAGATCGATTAGTTGATTCTACGTCTCTACGCAAAGCTATTGACACTGTGTATAGTGCTTACCTGCCAAAGAACACTCACCCATTTATATACATGAGGTACAGTACATGTATTATCAAGTCAATACAAAGTTGTATTTATTTTTTGTATATTTTAGTTTGGAGATAGCACCTTTAAATGTTGATGTTAATGTTCACCCAACAAAGCATGAGGTAAAGGAAATAGTATGTATTATCAGAAGGATTTCCTCTCCTAAAAATAGTCAGGGTAAATTTAATAAAAGCTTGCTATTAACTGACTGCTTTTCATTACAAAAAGCACACAAATGACAAATGATGTGTAATAATATGATAATAATAATAATGTAGCTCATGTTTGCTCTGGTATTGGCTTCTGCTTGATTAACACAATGTACACGTATATCACGAATAAACCCCCCCAAAATAATGCAAATGTTATTGTTAATTGTTGTCATTCCCCTCCTCCAACAAAGAATTCAGTGTGAATCCCTGTATTACATAGTGTGTTGTAGGTTCACTTTCTTCATGAAGCACTTATAGTTGAAACTATACAGAAGTCTATAGAAGATAAACTGTTAGGCTGCAATGAATCACGCACTTACTATACTCAGACGCATCTGCCAGGGACATCACTGCTACCAGTATCACTAGAAGAGGTTTCCATGACTCAGAGCTCAAGTGATGGTAAGTATATGTACCGTACAAGATGATTTATTGGCAAGGAATTAATATTGGCAGTTGGTAGTTCAAAAAAGAAATCGCCAGCCAATTTGTTCAATCTGAGCATGCTCAATGGCACGTGGCACAAAATTGCCAATATAAAATTTACCAATTAGCTTTCCACAGACAAATTTGCCAAATATTACTCCCACCAATAAATTGTTTTGTACAGTAATAGAGTTTTTGTACATTCTCCTTCTTTTAGAGAAAACTTATGCTCACCAAAAAATTCGTACTGACTCCAAGGAGCAAACTTTACATTCATTTGTTGTACCAAAGGAGCTTAATAACTCTCAATCAGATAAGGCTTCTTCGAAATCAGTTAGTGCTTCTTGTAAGAAGAGGAAATCAACTGACAGTCCTCAGCTGTCTCTTTCAAAGAAAAGAAAGCATCACAAACCCATTCATTTGACTAGTGTTAATAATTTGATTCAGGAAGTGAAGGACAAGGAGCATCAAGGTTTATTTTATTTATTATTCTGACTAGATATTTTCTTTTTATATTAGAACTGTGTTCTCTTTTTCGTGAGCACAAATTTGTCGGGTGTGTTGATCAAACAAGAGCTCTTGTCCAATATCAAGTAATTTATTAGTGATTAGTTTTTAACTTTTATTAATTTTTAATAGACAAAGTTATATCTTATAAGTTTAACAAAAGTCACGTAAGTTCAGCAATAAAATAATTATTTTTTACATTGTTACTTGTAGTCAAGAACTCTTTTATCAGTTGGTGCTGCTGGATTTTGCTAATTTTAAGCCGTTACAGTTAAATGTAGGACAAAACTTTTCTTAATTTTGATTTTACTTTTGTTAATATTTGTTCTAGCCTCCTGCTTCATTGTATAAGCTAGCACTAGTTGCACTGGACTCACCCGAGAGTGGTATATTTATTATTTATTATTAATCTAATTATGTACCATATTATACAATTTTTAGGATGGACATCTGAGAGTGGGTCAAAGGAATCATTAGCAAAGGTTTCTTGAATTTTATGTGAATTAATTTTTATTTTGATAATTATTATTTCTAACTATAGTATGCCGTGGATTTCTTGAGTAAGAAGTCAGACATGTTAGAGGATTATTTCTCAATGAAAATTGATGAGAATGGTTGTCTTGTGTCACTGCCCATTCTACTGGAATTATTTACTCCTGACCTTGATAGATTGCCTATGTTCATCTTAAGACTTGTCACTGAAGTAAACAGTTTATCATTCGTTGCTGTATAGTGTCGCTTATGATTAGGTTGATTGGGAAAGTGAACAGCAGTGCTTTGAAGGAGTGGCTAAGGAATTTTCCTACTTTTACTGCATCAAGCATGATTATTTCTTAGTGGACAGCGAAGAAAAAAATGTATTTATGTATAATTTGTATCATGTTATTCTAGTTTTTAAACTTTTCCTTTTTAGGTCGAGCCTTCACTTGCAAAAGTATTGCCATGGCGATGGATAATTGAACACGTATTGTTTCCTTCATTTCGAAATGACTTGGTTCCCTCTAAAGCTTTGGCTGATGACGGGAGTATCCTCCAGATTGCTGATTTGAGAGAGTTGTACAAAGTTTTTGAACGATGTTAAGTTCATATTTTGCAACTTAATTCACTACCATAAGTATCATTATAGCCAATTTGTGCACTAGCCAAATTTGTATAGTAACTTTCATTCATTATGGCAAGCTGACATTATTCATCATTATTACACAACAGTGTCACATGATTGGCTCATTAGGCTGGCTGTGGGTTGGTATGGCAGCAGAAGCAGAAGCTCTTGATAAACACGCCCCAGCTAAAGAATATAGTGATACTCTGTTTCTTGAGAGCTTCTCAAAGAATATAAGAGAAGATCTTTGGGCTAACACCACCTTCTACACATTCACTAATTTCGTGCTGCAAGGAACAAAAGACAATACTTTGGGAGGTGCTTCTGTCCTCGACTTGGGATGTGGTGATGGCATGTTTACTCGTTGGGCAGCTGCGCAAGGAGCTTCTAAAGTTGTTGGGATAGATCTATCAGAGGAACAAATTGCTGTTGCTTCCAAAATGGATGATGGCCATCATTCAGCTGGCATTGAGTATCATGCTAAGGATGTGATGGACATTAGGACTCCAGAATATGGGGAATTTGATGTCATCATAGCTGTCCACTTGATTTGTTATGCAGATAACCCTGAAAAGCTGCAGCGTATGCTTCAAGCTGTGTCCCTTTGTTTGAAAAAGGGTGGACGTTGCATTGGAGTACGTGAATGTCTCAATTCTGCTTTAAAAGGTCCAGTGTCGATGAAAATGAAAGAAGAAATAAAGAATGGGCCAATGCTTGCATACCAGATAATACCACAGTCAGATGAAATTGTCGAGAGCAAAGATTGTGATGATTTTTGTGCTTGCATTAATGAGTTTCGAAATTCAGATGGCTCAATCATTAAGTTCACGAATTACGTAGTGAAAGAATCAACAATGATTAAAATGTTCAATGATGCTGGATTTGAAGTGAATACCTGTGGACCAATTTTGACTTGCTCTCCAGAGGGAAAAAAGATGTTTCCAGCTGATTTTATTGACAAAGTTACAAATGATTTTGGAAAATTATTGTGGTACTTTGATATTACTAAATTATGAATGACTATAAAAATTAATTACTATTGGGTGCAATCCACAATAATTTTTATTGCTGCAATTTGTTTTTCATGCACATTTCAAATGATGCCATTGAAAAACCTCACATATACATGAATGTAGCGTTATCAATGTTCTTGGCTTGTAATGATGCCTTACCATAGTATTATAAAATCCAATGTTTGCTCACCACCATAAAACAACCAATAAAGCAAAAGGACTCATTAAAGAATGGGGCTAGATACTGCATATATTGCCAAAAAACAAGGCATGGTTGCTGCTGGGTGAGAGCATAGATGGGGTAAGAGACAAAGTTTTGCTTTTGCCAGAAGTGGTTCAGTTGTAGCAAAAGATTGTCAAGACGCCTCTCACTGTATGTAGTTCCCAGTAACTGGTTTAACAAAGGATGGGGTTAATATGACACTATACTGTCATAATTATAATGATATTAGATATGTCCTGTGGGAGTCATGCAAAAAGGATCACAGTTAGATCTACTACATCTGGCATGGACATGCATTGATTAAATGAATAAAAATAATAATTTAAATTTGGGGGGGGGGATTTCTCATTTCAACTAATCAGTTAACTGTTAAGTTATGACAACAATGAAATGGAAGTGTTGATTGATAGAAACGTTGTGATAATTGTTTTTGTGGTAGGTTTCTTATATACTTGTTGTTCTTCAGACTCCAGTAAAGTCCTAGAAGATGTTCAAGTAATAATAGACGCAGGAGCTTCTCAAGTGAACTGCACAGAAGAGCGAGGCAGTGAGATAAACAACACTAACCGTACCGGAAGCCACAACGCCTTCCTTTGTCCTTCTTTACAAGCTGCTCTACAACTCACCGGGTCTACTGGACGCTGCTGTTATCATTACTTCATATCTTTTAGACGCACTGCTTCTTCTGGAGGTTTTGTACACCTTATAACTGAGCCCATAGTCACATGTGCTTCTGTCACTTTAAACTCAGGAGGCAGTGAGTCTGATAATGTGACCATTTCTTGTCATACTGCTCAAGAAATTTTAAATAAATGGACATATGACTTGAAATATATCTTATATTTTAACTCATCCCTTTACGTGAACTTCAGGTATACTATTTTTGAGCATTGTCCACTTCCTATTAGAATATTAAAGGCTGAACAAGTTGAGATTACCAATTCTGCTTTCAGGTTAGAGAGTTGAAGACATTTCAGTTTTTTTAATAGCATAGGGCAGAGCGTTTCTGGCAGTGAGGGGGAAATTTTGTCAAATTCATCTTTGTTTTGGTAATATTTGTCCTTAATAAGTTACATTTATAGTTGACAATAAGAGCAATTTTAGCAACAGGCAAAGACAAAAATAATATACTTTTGAAGAAATGATGGAATTCCGAATTATCCCCCCCCCCAATTTTACTAGTTGCTGGAAAATGTTCCACCCTACTTTAGTATTTTTCTGTAAGCTAGACTGTAGTCCTATAGTCTAGACTAACGTTTGTTTATAATTACAATAAGAAATTTGTGCACCACCAGTATTGATAAAACTAATATTGTGTATTCTACTTTTATAGTTATTTCAAAGAAGCCGTCTTTGACATACACAACTGCTATAATGTGACAATTTTGGAATCATTTTTTACAAGTAACAGAGGAACTGGAATCACAGAGAAACCTTATCGTGGAAACACTGGGTCCCTCTCTATTACCTACAATCATGTTGAAACTGGCAGCATTCCTGGAAACCCCATAATAATAATAAAGTCATGTAGATTTATCAATAATTCTGCAACAGCCGAAACTTCTTTCAAGTCTGCAAATCAAGTTTTTGGTAAAGGTGTTTTAACAGGGAGAGGAGGAGGAATGGCAGTTTTTGCAAGAGAGAATGTCTTTAATATCTCAGTACTGATAACTGATTGTGAATTTAAAGAAAATTCTGCTAGATCGTATGCTGGTGGTGCTTACATTCTTTTTAATGGATACGGACATCACATTGTATTAATTAAGTCTTGTTACTTCCGATCAAACTACGCAGGAGTGGGAGGTGGTGGTCAAATTTTTGTTGGAACACAAGGTTTAACAGAAAGTCCTCATGTTTTCCAAATAAAAAATTGTACATTTCACGATAACAAAGCTACAGTTGGAGCTGCCTTGTATTATTCCATTAATCTCGATGGAGGAAGATCTAATAGAGCTCATATTGCTGACTGTGTGTTTACAAATAATTCTCTTCTCAGTGAACATGATGGTTTTGGTGTTGCTATTGCAGTTGACATTGGTGATAATTATGAAGAGAAAGAGTCATTCCCAGTCAACACTATCAGTAACTGGTATGTTATAATTCATGACTTTAACCTAATTAAATCTCTTTTAGTTTGATAGCTAATAATACTGCTGGGATTAGTAGCATTGTTAGCATAGGTTTCCAAACATTTCACCTATTTGGGAACAACAATTTCACAGGAAACCAAGGCTCAAGTTTGAGAGTTAAATTTTTAAAAAAATTACCAATATAATCAATTTTTATTATAGATAATCAATGCTCGGGTTGTATTGTCTGGAAGAATATCATTCATCAATAATACTGCTAAAGATGGAGCAGCAATGTATCTTTTATTATTCTCTCAGATACAACTGTCAGATAACGTACATATTTTGTTTAAAGGCAATAAAGGAAGGTAATGTAATAATAGATTCTTAGATGTTTAAGTGAATTCTCAATAGGTATGGTGCTAGTATATTTGTTGGTGCATTCCCATTGGTGGAGGTTTTTCGTCAAATTCCATACAATCCTCAATGTTTTTTAGCTCTAGAATCATCAAAAACACTCCCACCTTATCGCTGGGCAGAAGTATGTTTTGTATTATGTCTGTGTATAATTAGAATGTACACTTTCTTAGAGAAATGTTACCATTAGGTTTGAAGGAAACTCTGCTTGGTTTGGTGCTGCTGTCTACACTACTAGCTTTGCTACTTGCTCAT